AAACAAAAATTTTTGGGTCGTATTTTTGGGCTGTTACAGCCTAGGACTCGGACGAGTCAGGTCGCAGAACCCCCAACCTCTTCTAGTTAAGACGCAGATCAGTAAGTTGAGTGGTGACTCAGTGAGTTGGACAGGATGGGACTCAGAGATCGTTGAACTCGACGAGTCCTGGGGTGACTCGGCGAGTTGGGTCGTATTTTGAGAGCTTCTGAGTTTAAGGACTCGGCGAGTCTTCGGGTTGACTCGGCGAGTCGAGTCAACTGGAAGGTTGACTTTGACCAGGACTTTGACTTTAACCAGAGTTGACTTAGTTTGACTTCTAGATTTCAGTTTGGAACTAAGTGTTTTATTGATATTAGTAGCTCGGGGAGCTAGTGGAGCAGCCGTTCAGAAAGTGGACGGACAGCAGCCAGAGGGTTATCAGCAAAGTTCAACAGTGCGAGGTGAGTCTCCTCACTGTTTGTATGGGTCTACGGCCACAATGCCGACCCATTTGGTTTATGTATGGTAGGAAGACCTGGGGGTTAGCCCTAGGCACTATGCATGAAAGACCAGGAGGCGGCTCCAGGCACACAATATGTTATTATGTATGATAGGAAGACCCGGGGGTTAGCCCTAGGCAATATGTATGAAAGACCAGGAGGTGGCTCCTGGCGCACTGTATGCTATTGTGTATGAAAGACCAGGGGGTGGCTCCTGGCACACCATATGCGGAGTGGCCTAGTAGAGTAGTCTGTATAGTTGTCTTTGTGATACTTGCATGAAAGACCAGGGGGTGGCCCTTGGCACTTGTCTGTAAGACCCAGGGAGTAGCCCCAGGCTTGACCAGGAAGACCACGTGCGGCCCGTGGCATAACCGTAAGACTATGTTTGGCACATAGCACCTTACTTGATTATGGATATGTTGGTTATGTATGGCTCTTGGCTATGTATGACATGTATGGATCAGTGGTTTGTATGGTATGTGGTAACTGGGGAACTCACTAAGCTTCGTGCTTACGGTTTTTAGTTTTGGTTTCAGGTACTTTGTTTTCAAGGAAAGGAGCCGGCTCGATCGCAGCGCATCACACTACGTTTTCCGCACATGAGATCTTTGGGATCACACTCTGATATGGTTTTATGATAATATGTTTTGATTACTGACACTTTGGCTTGACACGAGATATTATTATGAATGTTTTTATACTGATGGTTTATGTAACCACTTATTTACAAATGAAATTTTTGGCCTTGAATTTTGGGAATGTTACAGCACAAGAGTTGCTTCAAAAGTTTAATAAGGTCATCGATATTAACATCATTTACATAAAACCCATTTTTACTTTTTGTCTATCTATTTTTATAATCGTTCATTTTTTTAGGAGGGTCATATGGAGATTTATCTATTTGCTTTGAATTTATTTTTGGATAAAAAGTTGGTGTTCAAAATTCAAATTTCACATTATAATTTAAAGAACAAAGTTGATGGTTATGCCATCTCAAACATCAATGTTGATAATACAATCATTACTGAATTTGAAATATTTTTTTTAACATCAAACATGTAACATTCTTTTACAAAGAATACTATAAACACTACATTTATTAAATTTCATTCTCTATATTTCAGTTGATCAACTAATATATTTCTATGTACTACAAATGTAGGCGCCGGAATCCGATTCGTTTAATGTTTTATCGGCAGTATTCGGATCTCAAGACACATTAAATTTGAAGGTGTTAAATATAATATAACTAAATCTAATATTTTAAATACTTTAAAATATTATTAACTTTTAGATTTACATACACATTTATTTTCTACATTTATGATGTTGTTTCGTTTACTGATGATAACGTCACACCCGCTTCAAATCTTGATAAAAGTACTGCAACAAGTGCACTAAGTGGACATCCTAAAAAAAGTATCTAGACATGAAGAATTAAAAAACAATCTGGAAGATGTTTATGATGTTGATAATTTGGAAACAATGTCCTTAACCAAACGGTCATCAACATCAATGATAGTTCATACTTCTGGGGAAGGCAAGTCAAAATTGTTAATTCCAAATAAAGAAAAATAATATATGATGTTCATGATTTTATTTGAGTAGTTGGGTGATATGAGTATTGTTGATTTCATATTATGTTTACATACTATTTGGTTATTGGATTTGGTTTTCGATGACTTTGTTTCATAATATTCGTTTTTCGGGTTAGAATTTTGATAATTTGAATACACTTTGGATTTTATGAAATGTTGAATTATTCATTTGTTTGTCTTTTGGGTTTAAACTCAAATGAATTTAGAATTTTAATCATTTTTACTCTATGATTCCGTTTGAATGTAAATTTGTCAACATTGTTACAATGTTATTTATTACAACTTCAATATAAATATTAAAAAGCTACCCCTTTTTATGAAATTGTAAACTTTTATAAATCTTTTAACCGTTCTAAAACAATTATTTATAATTCCTTGTGAATTTATTGATAAATTTATTAGTAAACATTTACCATTGAAATATTATTATTTTTTAGATATTAATGATTTCCTATAATTTTATAGATGTAAATAATAAAACTCATTACAATGACGCTAGAGATAGGCAAAGACTAAGACGCTTACATTTACAAAATAGAAGATTGAATTCTATGTCTAAAAGAGAAACTTTATTTCATCATCTAACGCAATAAATACTTTTGCTTGTGTTTCACTTATACATTTTCCACCTCTAGATCAAATTGTTTACGTCATCTTGACCAATGTTTGGTCAAACACGATGTCCATCAATGTTTCTGCTCAAACCTTCACCAATTTCCTCTATCCCTAAAATAAAATTCAAAATTCAAAATTCAAATCCTCACAAAATTTAAAGTCATAATTTATGCATTGACCATCCTATATGTTTGCAAATCAACATGATATATCTTTTTAATTATTCTATTTCTTTCTCAGTGTACATCGATAGTATCAAAATTCATCAAGGGCAAAATAGTCACCTTGTATTTAAATCTTATTAATATAGTAAATACTTCTAATTTTGAAAGTAATAACCGGTCTTATACATGTTAAATTCCAATTACTCGATTTCCAACTATCTAACTCAATAACTGTATCTACTTCTTCTTAACCTTACATTTTTTATAATGTTATTGATTATATTTACTATAATTAAGTTTAAATTGCAGAGAGTTTTACTTGAAAGTGATGAGTATTAATTGATGCTTTTATTGAAGCTTGAGGATGATGCCAAACTATAAATCCCTTAGTGGTAATATCCTACATACTTAATAATTGATTATTTCAACAAAAAATATTTCCATTAACTTTTATCACAAATTTGTTGAATTAACCATATTTTTATGATTATAAATTTGTTTCTCTAGTCACTTGTACTTATCAGCTTGAAGAGGAGAAAAGATTAACCACAACTATATTGATCATACCATTCTGACATGCTCTTCAAATTGTCTTTGCTTCATTCTTTGTTTTTTGTTCGTTTTTGTGTATTTGATTTGTTTCTTCAAGAAACTCAGTTTTCCATTAATTTTGATAACAAATTTGTTGAATTAAGCATACTTTTATGATTATAAATTTGTCTATTTTCTATTGTTAAATCAAGTGTAAATGAAGAATTTTGCTGCATTTTCAAAGAAGCGTCACTCTGTCAACATTCATTCTCTATAGTTCTTTCTCTTATTTTCGATATAGATGCATGTCACAACAGTAAGACAAAAAGAGGTGTTAGTGACCATTAATGATGAAAAGGTAAGATATAATTTAAGAATATTATATAACGTGTAAATTGTAGATTTGTGATATTTTATTTCTATGAAAAATATGTTGTTTGATTGCTATGTTACATATCTGGGTTTATTTTTTATTTTTTAATTTGATTTTGATAAGTTTGATCTAAATTTGATAATTGAAGCATATAAGAAAGATATGTGCTAACGATTTTGAATTTATATTGCCCTCCAGAAACTAACCGTAGCCTCACAGACCGTTTCCTCATATCTCAGTAGGTCTTAACATTTCCCTAAATTCAGCTACAAGAAGTCATGGATGCACTTCTTGAATCAATCATCAAAAATGAATTTCATTTGTTAGTTGGATACAATGACCAAAATGCAAGATTTGTTAAAGTTCATTATTATTTATTAGTGTTAACCTTTGACAAATTATGAAACTAATATTATATTTTTGTTCATAACATGTTTTTTTGTAATAATTTTCTTTGATTGGAAGATATGTATACGTGATTAGGTGTAGCCAGAAAAATCGTAGTTTAATTCTTATAAGGAAAAAAAATACTTTAGAAGTTGACCAAATTACAATGTCCGAATTTGATGTTTATGGTTATGACAATGAACTTTAATTATAATGATTATCGAATTTCTTTGTAGAATTTAACGTTATTGGTACATATTACAACATATTGTTGCTTTTGATTTTACAGGGCCAATATGAAAAGAGCCATATGAGCATTTATGAGGGTTGGTACACTGAACAAAGTCAATTCATAAAGCTACTACACAACATGTTTTAATCAAGAAGTCACATTATGTTGTGATAAAACAAAGATCACATAGATCATTTATGTTAAAAATTACTGTATTAAAAAACCAAATTGTTTTAATATAAATATTAAATATTTTTATTTAATAAGTTTGGTTCAAAACTCTAAAATGAATCTAACTAACATTTTTTTATTAAAAATTCACCAAAGACAATGTCACCCATTAATGTAATGTGTATTTAATTGATGTTATCCGCGTTTAAGACGGGTTATAATCTAGTATATATGATTTCAAAATAGGATGTTAGTGAATAAATCTATTTATATTGATTAATTAGTTTAAAAAAAAACTCAAAAATTCCGATCTCCAAAAATCCAAACCCAAAATTTTTAGATATCCAAATCCATAATTAAAATACATATTTGGATAATAAAATCCGACAAGAAGGAAACATATTTTAAAATGAAAATATTTAATAAATAAAAAAGCAACGCCCATCAATAAGCAGTTGCAAGCAAAAGGCTACTGCGCTTTCTCACGAACTTCCGCAGCGAAGCCGCTCTCTCTCTTCTCCGCCATTGTTGAAACGCTTTTTTCTTCATACATAAGTTCTACTTCTCTATCTCGTTTGATGCATTGAATCAAAAAGGTATCAACGACAATGGGTATATGCTTGTCAACTGAATCGCCACCAAGGAAAAACCATTCGAAACGCGTCACAAATCAATCAACTACATCAGCCAATAGCAATTCAAGCAATCGATGGTCTCGCGTTCGATCTCTTTCTAGTAAGAGAGAGAAATTTGATGATGCTATGATTCATGAACATGCAATCGCTGCCGCTCTCCTTTTCCAGCAAAATGGCGGTGTTTTGCCTTTCGATCGATCAACTTCTCTCCGACATCCTCCTGGCTCTGCGAACTCCAAACGTCACAATCCTCTCCCTCGGAGTTCTAGTACTAGGCCTAGATCGGTTGCTGATCCTCTGTTTCCTCCTCAGCAGCTCCTTAATCAGGTCTGGTTGCTGTCTCCGATCACGAATTTTGGTTAATTATACGCAATTGATGCTTATTTTGATTTTAATTCACAAACATTATGATATTCCGATTGTCATTCCGGTGAAATTAGGGAGATTCACTTGAGAAACAACCGTCAAATTGCCAAAACATGCAGATCACTGCTGTTCACATCTTCTTTCGTTTATTCATTTTGTTGATCTTAAAACTCTATCAATAGGTCAAAGACCTTTTGGGGCAAATAAGCGGATTTTGTAACTTGTATGTCGTTTTGTAGTTCTTTCATGATCAAAAATCTGGTCTGAGATTTGTCGGCAGCACAAATGTCCACTTCTAATCCTGTTTTCTGTCATTACTTGAGCCTGTAGATTCTGTTCAGTGTCCAAATAACTAGAACTTTGGGGTGCTGAAGATGTAATTTTTTTCTGGTTTCATCAGAATAGGAGCCAGAATCAGCAAACAAAGATAAAAGTCCTCATTTGTTGTATTGCTAATTGAATGTTTGTGTTAGGTAGTGCAAAAAAGTATGCAACTTTTTAATCTAAATATCTAATCAATATGATTACTTACCTACCTGTGACTCTCATAAATGTTATGAATTATGTATATGTGTGATTATTTGGTTGTCTGTAGGACATTCTATTGTCTTTCCTGATGTTAAAACTTAAAACTTAAATTTCTAGTTACATACTTACATACAGATCATTTATTAGTTTGAAATGGCCTATGAAACTTACTCCAATACTTAAATTCTTGTTCTTGTTCACAGGATCTAAATCTTGATGAACTGGAGACAAGCCACATAGTCCTTGTTCATGGAGGTGGATTTGGAGCCTGGTGTTGGTATAAAACAATTGCACTTTTAGAAGAATGTAAATTCAAAGTTACTGCAATTGATTTAACTGGTTCTGGAATCGATTTGTTTGACACCAATAGCATCAAAAGTCTTTCACAGTATGTAACACCACTCATAGATTTCTTGGAAAAGCTCACAGATGAAGAGAAGGTTGGTTTCTTACTTTCTTATGATCTTATCCACAAATTCACTTCTATTTTCATCTCTTACATCTGTAATCCAAATCATTATTTCTTAATCCACGCAGGTGATTTTGGTAGGCCATGACTTTGGTGGATCATGTATATCATATGCAATGGAGCTATTTCCATCTAAAATTTCTAAAGCTATATTTATCGCTGCTTCTATGTTGAAAAGTGGTCAAAGTACTCTTGATATGTTCTCACAAAAGGTTTGTTCCTCAATATATATAATTTCTTCTACCCTTTAATCTTTCTTTTGTTATAAGTTTAAGAATATTTCAATGTATAAATTATATTTGCAGGAAAATACAAATGATCTCATGCGTCAAGCTCAAAAGTTCATCTATGCAAATGGGAATAATTTGCCTCCAACTGCAATTGATCTTGACAAAATGCTCTTAAAGGACCTTCTATTCAATCACAGTCCTCCCAAGGTATAGCTCAATACTACTGTATTTGATATGTATTTGACTATGATTGTCAATGAGACAAAAAGACGTAAACGCCCTTGTCATCCATCATCTAAAATATCCCCAAAAAGTTGAATTATACAAAAATTTATTGCCCTTATTAACACATTGTATATACACAACAATTGCTACCGATTAGGCATGCCTTTATGCTAACATGCTCCTTGCCATTGTGCTAACCTGCACTTAAATAATATAATCTATAAAAATGCCATGTTTAGTCCTTATAGTTTTAAAATGGTATAATTACTTGTTTTTGTCCCTGTAGTTATATACTATTGTGGCCATTTTAGGTTAATTACAATTTTCGTCCTTACAGTATCAAATATTTTTTAAAAATAGTCCCTGCTTCCTGTATTATAAAATCTTTGTATAAATGGTCCCTGCTTAAATGGAAAATTACAGAAATGGTCCTTATGTATCATAAAACTAGAGAAATGGTCCCCTTCTAAATATGGAATTCCCAGAAATGGTCTCTATGGAATAGTGTAATTACAGAAATTTTCATGTTTCTTAAAAGGATTAATCTCATAAAAAAACCTTATATTTTGTGTTTTTTCCGGATTAAACATTATCTTTATTTTTTTTCATGAAAAAGACCTTATAGTTTTTCATTTTCTCCGAAAAAACCTTCAACTTTGTCTCTTTTTTTTCCGACAAAAACCCTCAACCTTCTAAATATTTCGAAATAAATCCTCAATTTTTTTAAATTTTCCTGAAAAAACCCTCACATTTTACAACTTTTTAAGAGAAAAATGACTAAAAAGGCCAGATCGGAGAAAATAAAAAAAAATGCGAGGTCTTTTTCATGAAAAAAATAAAGTTGCGGTTTAATCTGAAAAAAAAAACACAGAATATAAGGCCTTTTATGAGATTAAAGCCTCTTAAAATTACAAAATTGATCCCTACATTTTAGAAAATCTCAGAAACGATCCTTGTTTAATTCAAAAATTACAAAAATTTTATTCTATTCCAAATGATGTCGAAAACATAAAGGTTACATCAATCCAAATTTGTGTCAATGGGACAACGTTTCATTTTTCCTTTTTTAAAAAGCTTGAATAGGGACTCAAAAAGACGTAATTACGTAAACACCCTTGTTGAGAAAGTTAATTTGTACCAAAAAGTCACTGACCTTTTTCCGTTTGACGCATCCAAATTTGTGATTCCAGGATGTAGCATTAGCGTCTGTTTCCATGAGGCCGATTCCATTCCCACCAGTTCTAGAGAAACTCTCTCTTTCCGATTCCAACTACGGAAAAGTGAGAAGATTCTACATAGAAACACCAGATGACAATGCCATTCCAATCGCCTTACAACAAAGCATGATAAACGAATCCCCACCTGAAAAGGTATTCCGTATCAAAGCTTCTGATCACTCCCCTTTTTTCTCAAAACCTCAAGCCCTACATAAATTACTAGTCGAAATCGCAAAACTCACATAACAGCACATAAGACATAACCATGAAAAGTAACATTTGCATAGGTAGAGCGTGATTTTGAGCGCCGTGTACATTGTGTTTTACTTCAACATTTCAATTCATAAATTAAAATAAATCATGTTGAATTTTACGTATAAGAAATTGCTAGAAAATCTAGCAATTTTTTGTAGGTGATATTCGTTGGGTTATATTTTCTTTGTCTTTATAATATAATATGTAATAAGGATATGAAGTAAGATTGAGATAGATGGTAGGGATTATGTTTATGTAAATTTGAATTAAATAATTTCATTTGGTTTTTGTTGCTATTTTTATTCGGTATGTAATGTAGTTCAATGTTTATCTGTCAAAGAGATTACTTTCACATAAATAGTAGAGTAAATTACATGAATGGTCCCTATGGGTTGGGGTAATTTATACGTTTGGTTTCTTAACTTATTTGTTTAACTCGGAAGGTTCCTACTGTTTGTTTTTGTTGCGCATTTGGTCATGGTCTTACATGAAAAGACTATTTTGTTATTGATTTTTTAAATTATTTAAATAAACGAGTAAATTACACGAATCGTCCCTCGTGCAGGTGCGAAAATACACGTTCGGTCCCTATTTTCAAAAATTAATTCGGACCGTCCCTCGATAGTCTAAAACTTACACGCTTCATCCCTAAAACACGATTTTATTGCGAACTTAGTCCGTTCCAGATTTGAAATGACCATAATACCCTTATGTTTTTATTTTTCAATTAATTCGATTTTTATTAAGATTTTCAATAAGAAAAAATAAAACCCCCTACCCTTCACTTTCCCAACCCATCCACCACTTTTTAACTGTTAACGTAAGCGCACACACATTCATAAGAAGGAAAAAGGAGATCACCAACTTGTCGATGACCAGTCATCATCATCGTCTACACCCTCTGGTGGTGGTGGTTTTGGCTGGGTTTTCTGGGGGAACTCTAGAAGTATCCTAACTCCCCCTTCCTGTTTCTCCACCTTCATCTGAGAAGGTGATCGGTCAGTCACTGGTCATCATCATCGCCATCGCCTCCAAGCCACCACCATCCTCCCCGCAAGCCACTGACTTCATCTGCAGGTTTCTGGCGAGGGATAGGTTTTCCAAGCCACCACCGCAAGCCACTAACTCCTCCATCACAAGTGAACGTCATCATTACCACTGAACTCTGCCATCACCACATTTGAACCCGTCACAAATGGCTACTCCTTCTGGCGAATCTCTCAATCGTCGTCGTCTCAAGCCCAATCTCTCAAAACCTCACTCATAGATCTGCTCAATTAATTCACAATCGTCACTCGATTTATGCAAGTGTGTTTTCATATATGAGGGCTAGGTTTTTCAATTGGAAGTGGTTTGATTTTAAGGTTTGGGGTTTTAGATTTCTGGTCGATTTTGAAATTTCTAGTTTTTTAGGTTTTAATTCTTGGTTTTCAGATTTGATTTGGTTTGGTTTGGTTGTCGGAAGTAGGCTGGTGGCCGGAGGTGGCTGGTGGTCGGACATGATATTTTTGACCAACATTTTCCAGTGACCTGGTTGAAGGGAGGGTTTAGGGCCATTTTTTTTAAAAAGGAAATAATAATATTTTTTATAATAAACAATCAATAAAGAATTAAGAAATAACAAATAAATAGAAAATAAATCAAAATAGAAATAAATAAGGGCAAAATGGTCTTTTTATGTCCGGAGGGATGAATCGTGTAAGTTTTAAACTGACGAGGGACGGTCCGAGTTAATTTTTAAAAAATAGGGACTGAACGTGCATTTTGACACCTGTACGAGAGACGATTCGAGTTAAATAAACACACCCCCAACCCGACTTCCATCTCACATTACCTTACCTACCTCACATTATTTAAATAAATTAAGACAAAATGGTCTTTTTAGGTAAGATAGGGACCAAACACGCAACAAAAACAAACTGTAGGGACCTGTCAAGTTAAAAAAATAATTTAGGGACCAAACGTGTAAATTACCCCAAACCATAAAAGACCTTTCGTGTAATTTACTCTAAATAGTAAGATAGATATTTATTTTATTCATTATAAAATTCAGAAAGTAAAAAAAAAAAATACGTAACTTGCTATTTTGTATTAAAAAAAAAAAAAAAAAAAAAAAAAAAAAAAAAATCATTTAAAACCGAAAATAGAATATTCTCTACTGAAACTTGTCTCCGCTATATTATATTTATCTTCATCTTGGATTATTGTATTGATAACCGACAACCTTACAATATCTTAAACACACATAGGCACGCTTGCTTTTGTATTAAAACATTTTCTTTTTATTTACATAAAATTCCAATACTATTTTTCTGAGTCTCTACTCTCTAATAAGTCCTCACACCCACAAATATATAAATATAATGTTTATGAAACCAAATGATATATTTGAGTTTTTTCTTTCTTAAAAAAATAGAAAAACCTAATAAACTTGTTCGTTGAAATGTTAGTCTACATAACTTTTTAAAAAGTTAGCATAATAACTTAAATTTTTTTGAAAAACAAACTAGTTTTGTTGTGCCAAATGTAACCTAGAAACTCTATTTTTCAACTTATAAAAGGAAGTTACTTTTTTATATATTCTATATTAGTTTATAACCCGTGGGAACCATGGTAATAAAATTAATTAAACTTTTATAATAAAAAATTATAATTATTAATCAATTATTTTAAATAAGTCATTTTAAATAAATTATTAATTAAGAGATATATAAAATTTTTAAGTTATTATAACTTCAAATTTAACATATAATTAGAAAATGTAAATTTGAATTTTGAAATGAGTTACCTAATATATCTATATGACACATGACATAATATTAATGAGGAGTTGTATTAGAGTGACACTTGTCAAAAGGAGATTAAAACTATTCATCTATTAAAATAGGGATGTAGCGCTCCATGGTGTTGTTCACAAAAATTTCAAAGGCAATAGTACCTTTCTAGCATTTTGCCATATTGTGGTTAGTTGTGAGGAGTGAATCAAACATCAATTGTTAAAAGAACCCATTTTCTAATTTTAAAAATCGCATTTGCATATCGGCTTTTACTGAATCCTACGTTGGTCTCAAGGATAGTAGACAATGTTGTAGAGAGGGGAGATTACAACAAAATAAAAGGCTTTAAAATCACCTTCAAACAACAAACTAAAAATTTATAAGTAGAATCAACAGCACACTTGATTCTTGATCACTTTGTGATCCTATAAAAGTGAAAATAATATTGACCCCAAAAATATTTCTTGTTTTAAGGTCTATGTGTTTCCATGTTAACCAACAATTTTTACTCTCTTTAGATGAATAGAAAAGATTTTCCTTATACTATCAATTGAGAGGACCATTCATTTAAATCATCTCTTTTATCATAAAGTGTTTGTACACTATTTTCACCAACACTTTTTACGCCAACAGTATCTTCTTATCATCCTTTTCATAAATAAATGACAGTATTTTCACCAACACTTTTTACAACATCCGTTGATCAACAAGAGTTCTTACAATACATGAACAAGAATCATCATGTTCATTAAATCATTTGGGCGGTAGGTTCCAAATCAATGATGATCAACATGTAAGGATACATAGTTTGGATATGATGTATGAACATATTGTTCTATTTGAATAATGTTTTCCATTGAGATAAGGAATACAATAACATAAACCCGACGCACAAGCCATTTGATATTAGCAACACAAAATATAGTGGCTTTTAAATGAGAGTTTTAAATACAAAAAAGAGAAGATGCCATAGAATCTTTTGAAAATAAATTATATCTGCTCGGATATAACTTGTTAGATCCCAGAGAAACTAAACGATGTTGTAAAGGGGCCGAATACAAATATATAAAAACACGCGTATAGAAATATGCAATACTTTGGTGAAGCCCACGAAGAATCAATAACACGCTTTAATTCTTTAAATTGTGATATGCTATAAAAGCGAAAACAACACTCCATAATCCTCACAAGAAACCCATCCCCTAAGAATATTTATGTGTTTTAGGGGTTGTATGTTTCTATGTTCACTAGGAATTTTTACTCTCACTATATGAGTCTTTATATATAATACATAGCATATGCCTCACAAGATAGGATTATCTTTGTTTCATAACCCACAACAAAGAATATTTTCCTTGTACTATAAAATAAGAGGAGGAACGTCAAACAATCTTCTTGAGTAAATCATTGGATAGTATTTCATCAAATGCAGCCAATGCTCGGCCATACAAGTAACTGATTTAACAAACACATGGTCTTCACTTGATGACTTAATTGATCTTCAATTCTTCAAGGTGCTTTGGTGAAAAGTTCTTGAACCAAAAGATCTTCATAGTTGCTTATCATTATGTGGTCAATCTTGAACAAACAAGGAATAACTAGGTCAATTTAACCGATAGATTTTCGTCAACTAGTCTATAAAAGACTTTCTTTCTTTTCTATTATAATCAATCAAGTTAACACTACCATACATTTGATAGCATCTTAATTCTTATGTAAGGGTAGAACACTTACTTGATGATATCTTGCTTGAATTATTTTGTTTAATCAATTTGTCAGACATCGGTTGTCAAAGTGGTTGAACAACTACCTTTTTTGGATCACAAACTTTTGTGGCCTAATCATGAACAAAATCCAGGTCGAAAACCGAAGTTTCTTCTTCTTCGGGAATATTGGTTTTTGACAGGTCCTCACGACTTTTGTTGCAGTACATGACTTTTCAACGAGACGTTTCAACTATGAATTTCCTTCTCCATAAGTAGCATGCAACATTGCTTAAATTCTATTTTTTACTATCACTCATTATTTTAATATAGTTAAATTGTTCCTAAATGTGGATTTTCCAACTACACTCTTGGAATACGTTAACAATATGGAAGGTACTATAGAGAAGGGCTCCATGCAGAAGCTTAAGAACCCGTATTTGGAATGTGAACATCAATACCAACGTCATTTGAACCTATTAGGTCACACACATATAAAAAATAATACATAAACAAATAAGGAACTCGAGAGGAATACCCAAATATTATAGTGGTTGTAATAACTAAGTGGACATTAATTAATTAAGAGCTAAAAGGAATTACTAGGCCTTCTTGGCATATCCAAGCTAGACATGAACAAAAAGACAGTCTCGAAAAAAAAAGACCAACGTCGAATCGGTCAAAAACAAGACACGACCAAAAAGAACTGGTTCTAAAAAAGATCGGACTGAAAAAAGACCGTCCTGACACCAATCCTAAAAAACAGACTATTCCAAGACCAACACAAGACCGGTCTCAAAAAAGACCGGAAGTCAAAGTTTATGACATATAATTTTTGTATTAGTTACAAAATTTTTAATCACAAATTACAAAACTTCTTCCATTCTTTATTTAATTAAATTTTAGTGTATCATTTTTATGAAATATTAATGTATCATTTTGGTGTTAATCACACATTTGTTAATAGGAAAAAAAAACGAAATTGTGCCGAAAAACCTGAAACCAAACCAAAAAAGACGCACACAAAGACCACGAGACCACACCAAAAAGACCAAAACCGGTCTAAAAAAGTTCGGTCTGAAAAAGATCGGCATGAGATAGTTTGGGATCGGTCTGAAAAAAGACTAGACCAATCCTAAAAAAGTTCGGTCGTTTCAAAGGCCTGAGACTGAGACTGAGACTGAGACTGAGACTGAGACTGAGACTGGTCCTGGTCCGGGACCGCCGCTGTGCATCCTCTAGTCCAAGGGTGACGCTCATGCCATAAGATAAACATATGTTTACGATACCATCACAGGCGAGTTTACGTATCATAAAGGTAGGTCACTTAACCTACCTTTTATATATATATATATATATATATATATATATATATATATATATATATATATATATAACCTATCTTAATTTTTTTTGAAAGGGAACTTCCCTAACGAGGGTTTCCGGGTCAGTTTTCACGCACCGACTAATCCCTCACTGCAAATATAAGGTTATGCTTATTGCCCTGGAGTCACTGTAGAAGAACTTTCATGGCCACAGATGTTGAGTAGTGTCAGGAATTGAACATGAGTCAATAGATTATTCATCATATTTTATATTTCAATAGTACAAATAACTAATATGTTCAAGATAGAGGTGCACAAATGTCAGTACCGAAACAGGTTTTAAAAAAAAAACGATCT